ATTTGTTTAACTGGGTTCTCTTTATCTACTTTTAGGATTTGTGTGAAAATCTACTTATATTATAGGTAAATTTCTGCAGAAATATAGAAAATTATAAAGGGTTCTCAAACTTTTAAGCACCACTGTGCTGTGAGTGTGAATGTATATATATATATATATATAGGGCAGACCCTAAAGTCCAAGGTTCGATTCCCGGTCAATGCATACCTCCTGGTGTCTCTGGGCTGCACACCTGATCCCCAAAATGCCCCCGGCGCTTTTAATAGCTGTCCACTGCCCCACCTGGTGGTGAATGGAATAAATGCAGAGACTAAGTTCGCCATTGTGTATGGAAACATACAGTGATGACATTATTATTAATAGATAGATAGATACTGAACAGTGCAGACACTTCTTGGATTGTGTATATGTATCCAGACATAATATGCAGTTTTATTAAGACAATATAGCAAAATATAAAATTATATTAAACAAAACTACTTTGTCCAAAAAAAAAAAAAAAAAAAGCTTAATTACCATATCAGGTGCAGTTTTTGTCTCATGATGTTGCTGTTGGTAACTTTAACACTTTTAGACCATGAACACATATTCCACTGCAAAACAGATTGAAGGTTTTTATTATTTCTTAAATATGCAGCCATTACTACATGATTACACAGGCTCATTTTAGTCCACTCACAAAGTCCAATATAATAAATAAATTACCATAGTTTAAGTGCAAATACATTAATCCTTTTGCTTTATCTGTTTTATCCTGTAGAGCAGGAAACTGTAACTATCACAGCTGTCACTGAACTGAGAGGAAGAGTACACCTATCTAAATGGAGAAACATACAAAATATACAGCTAAAAGTAATCACAAAAAGTAAAGCACAAAATACTGACAAAGAAAATTCAGGTGGAGAAGTGAGATTGTGTTTTGGGCTCAAACATAGATTTAGAAAAAAAAAGCTTCTGTTTGTACCAATAGTTTATTGTCACTTCAAACATAATAAAAATAACAACATACAATAAGAGCACACTGCATTTAAAGTTATGGGACAACTTCAGTGCTTTTTCTCGGAGCATCCGTCCTCCCCTGAGTAAGAGTTCTCATTTCCACCTGCTTCATGCCTCTGGAAGCTGAAAGAATGCACGGAGGTTTCCCTCAGCTATTTTATTTCCCCCATTTCATCCTCAACCTCATCTTCTCCCTCCTCTTCATCTTCCAGGCTTGAGCTGAGAGAACCATCGTGATGTTTGATTCTCTGTATGTCCTCCTCATCCTGAGTCAGAGAGGCTGCTGCTACCTTTTCTTTGGCTTTATGACTTCTCTTCAGCTTCATGCGTCTGTTCTGGAACCAGATCTTCACCTAAAAAACAATAAAAATATAGTTTTAAAATAAGATTTTCTTTCAAAGGCTTTGGTGATAAAAAACGTTTATTCATCTTTATTTCATTTTAATTTTTCAAAATCATTTCATAATAGATGCATCTTTATAAACGTTGACAATTTTGACGTAATTGTCCATATTTTTGCTCAGATTTGTTAAATAAAGTAAGCAGAGCACTTTTTGAGTTCATCCCACATTTCAGAATTGCAAATCTGGAAAACCATTGAGAAAACTCTTTCATCTGCACCATTTGATAGAGTTCTGTGACGTTTTAAAATGTTTGATTTCATTCCTTGAAGATAAATGATTAGAGCTGCATGCATCCAGTTTTACTTGAATTACCACTTGTTACAATAATCTGATGGACGTGTTCCATTTCGTTCTAACCTGAGTCTCTGTCAGCATGAGCGAGGTGGCCACCTCAAAGCGTTTAGATCTGGACAGGTACTTGTTGAGCTTGAACTGGTTTTCTAGTTCCAGCAGCTGCTGACTGGTGAAAGCTGTCCTTGGTCTCCGACACTTCCCCAACACAGCTGCTTGAGCTGTGGGTGACAGGAAGACACAGAAGCAAGGTTCATTATTCTCATTAAGGATTTATCTGTTTAAACAGTCATACATGAATTAACGTGGACAGAGAGAGAGAAAAAAAAAAAAAAACATGTCTAACCAAAGACAAGAAAAGGACAAAATCCTGAATGTTTGAATAAAAAGCTCAATTGCTGATATATTGTCAGTAACATTTATCACCATAAGATAGAGGGGAGGAGGTGATAAAGCATAACACAAGTCCATTACCTTAATGAAAACCTTGTAAATAGTTTCAAGAAGATTGATTTGTAGAGCTGTTTTAGGTGCATAAAAAGGTTGAATATAATTGATTTGGATTTATGAGTTCTTTAAAAGACAGTGTCTCAAAGTCATGGCGCTGCGAGTTGTTTAAATAATGAAACATACATATGCAGACCTTTTACGCACAAGTAAAGTCAACCTAATGAAGTTTTACACATCACTCACCACCAAACTCTCCAAGTCTGGGCATCACCATCCCCGTTCTGATCCATGGTTCCAGGGGGAGCGTTGTGCCCCCCTGGAACTGCTCTGAAAACGGTTGGAACAGCTGCATGAAGCCTGGGTACACCAAGGCGGGGTGCTGGCCTCCAAGGGCCGTCAGTGGATACATGGGCCCCGCAGCGTGCGTCCCGAGGAGACCTGCCTGATGGAGACTGAGTCCTGACTGGGACAGGCTGAAGACGTGGGATTTGGACAGGACCCCTGATTGGACTGAGGAAGAGTTTGTCTGAGGAGAGGAAGACTCTGAGGCGCAGACTGACGCTGGACTGCCATCCGGACTCGAGCTGTAAAACAGTCCCGGGGACGCGCGGTCTCCGTCAATCCTCTGCGCCGCGTCATGCGCCAGGAGCGCGTCAATGCAAAAGTTTTTAGATTTCTCCATGGAGACAGCCATTTTCACCCAGGTCGTACCCAGTATCTTGAACAAATTGTTTGTATTGATTCTAGACCAAACCAGTTCAAAACTTCTTAAATAACTCGTGCGTTTTATTCCTGGCAAAAAACGGCACAAGTCCCCGAACGTAACGCAAACTCGTTTGCCATCCGTCCTTCCTTGTGAAAGCAACTTCCTCTTTCTGACTAATTCCACTTCGGCATCGTGCGTAAAAACCCATTTGCCCACCCCAGCAGTGAAAGAAAAATGACTGACAGACAATAGGGCAGTAAAATCTGCTCCACTGTGATTGGCCAGAGTCCTGCAGCACAGGGTCAGTCACACACATGCTCATGTCTTAACACACTGTGACCAATACATGTCTGCCCACCAAAGGTGAAGCAGTAATGTTTATGTCTGTGTCCGAAGTGTTAGCAAAATATCTCATGGATGGGAAGGAATTTAATAAAACACACTGAAATTCTAACTTTTGGAGGTAATTTGATTCTAAATGCTTTCACCACAAACTCAGTCACTTTACTGAGCTAAAACTTGGTGTGGTAGTGGCTGAGACTCATTTTAAACACATACTTGGAGTGTTAATCAACCATGTGGCTGGTGGCCAACTTAAATTAAAACTAAACACGATAAAACCCTTCAATGAAATGCCAGGACTGAATTGTTTATGCATCCTCCTCATACTCGTTTATTATCTCTTTACTGTTTTATTTTTATTTGTGTAAATTGTATTTCTATTATTTTATTTGCTGCAGCTTTGCATGACACTGACGTGTGGTTTTCTCACAAACCACATTATATTGCACTTTCAGTTTGCGAGGCAAGCAAACACTCTTGAAATATATACAGCTGTAATTACCTCACCTTTGATGACAAAATTAATCATTGTACATCTAATTCTTCATTAAACTTTATTACTTACTAAGGTTGACAGAAACGTAACCGCTCTTATCAGCAGTCGCTGCTGATTACCGGTCATCACCACACCATGGAGCACATAAAAGGGCAGTAAAATGACAGAGAGCAAACTTATTTTCTCTCCTTGCAGGACCAGAACAATACACAAAGTGTGAACAGGTGACGGCAAACCCTGCAGTGCTTATGTGTTGCTTCTCTCTTTAAGACCAGAAGAGAAGCATGACAGTTTAACTGCTGGTGCAGCTTTGAAGAGAAATCTTAGCATCAAACGACACCTGTCCTGAAAAAAAGCACTGTGGTGACAGTTTGAGTAATTGAATTTCACTTACTGTGTAAATGTCCACCTCCTGCTGCAGTCATCAGTGGTGATTTCCTGCTGGATTTTACAGGACTGATAAAAGGTGGTCATATACCTGGGAAAACAGACCTTCTCATGTCAAAGACAAACAAAGAAACACCTGCTGCTTTGTGCTGTGTGAACTAAACAACCTGTGTGGCTCAAACTGAATATGTGTGTGCCGGCATGTGGGCATGACCATACCTCCTGAAAATTATTATTTACAATCTATTTTAAACCGGCAATAAATCTTTTTTGACCTTACAGAACAAAGGCTTTTTTTTTTTTGTTCATTACTTTATTAACAAACAGCAATGTAATTACTTTTAAAATCTTAACTTCTTTATGTAAATACTTATAAGCTATATCTCAGTCACACTTTTTGTCTAACAAACTGTGCTAAATTTAGAGACTTGCAGGTGCATCTCAAAAAAGTAGAATGTTGTGAAGAAGTTCAAATTATTTGTCAATAATTTCAGAAAGTGAATTTATATATTACATAGATTCAATGTGCATAATATTTCAAGCTTATAGTTCTTGTAAAATTGATGAATATGACTTACAGATAATTAAAAAAAAACTAATGTCATTCTCTCGGAAAACTAGAACATTTGATTGTAAAATCATTGTGTCACACCATAATCTGCTGATTAACTCCTAGACATGAGCTACAAAAGTCTCATTCCTCACGTTAAGTCACTTCTGAACAACAACATCGGAAGCGTCTTACCTGCTGAGGAGAAGAAGGACTGTTGCTCAGTGGTCCAATGTCCTCTTTTCAGATGGAAGTAAATGTTCATGTCATTTGGAAATCAAAGTCCCAAAGTCTGGAGGAAGAGTGGAGAGGAACAGAATACACATTGCTTGAAGTCCAGAGTGAAGTTTTCACAGTCACTGATGGTTTGGAGCCATGTAAGTAAGTAAGTAGTGCTATGTGTTGTCATCACTGTATGTTCCCATATAATGAAAAAAAATGTTCTCTGCATTTAACCCATCATACATGAGATACACCCAGGTGGAGTAGTAGGCAGCTAGGTAGGTGCCCGGGGAGCAATTAGGGATCAGGTGTCTTGCTCAGGGACACCACAACATGTGGTCTGAGATGGTCTAGAGGTAGGGCAGCCAACTTGGGACCAGTAAGTCGTGGTTCAACTCCCCACCATGCCCACATGTTGAGGTGTCCATAATTAATCCCTGGGTGCTTACAGAGCTGCCTACTGCTCCACCTGGGTGTATCTCATGTGTGATGGGTTAAATGCAGATAACTAATTTCATCATCTGCTGGTGTTGGTCCACTGTGTTTTCTGAAGTCCACAGTCAACGTAGCATCTGCCAGGACATTTTAGAGCTCTTCAGGCTTCCTACAAGTTTTATGGAGATGCTGATTTCATTTTTCCAGCAGGACTGGGCTCCTGCCCACACTGACAAAGGTACCAAAAGCTGGCGATGCAATATTCTAATTCTCTGAGACACTGAATTTTGCTTTTTCATTATTTGTAAACCATAATCATCAAAAGTACTTTGTACAAGAAATAAAGGCTTGAAAAGTTGCACTCTGTGAAATGAATATATGTAAGAAATTTGTTTCGGTTTCTAAAATGACTGACAAAAAATGAATATTTCACAATACAGTAGTCCATCACCTCTTTGCAGTTCGACTTCTGTGGACTCGGTCCACTGCGGTTTGTGGACGTGCAGTCCAAAATATTAGACTTTTTTTTAAAAATACTTAATTGTGGACGGTAATATCCCTGTACTGTACTCATGTGGTTGTTAAAAAGTTATTGACAAAAATAAAATACTTTGAACAGGTGCCACCATTTTGTAGTTTTCTCTTAGTAATTCTCTACTGTATTCCTGCTCATAATGACCACATTTCCCAGAAGGCAACAGGGCCCTGCCCAGAATCACAATTCCCTTCTGTTGAAAAAACAGAGGTAAAGTTTTGAACTGCTTGGTGCTGCTGAAATACTAGAGAGAAATTTTGATCTGATTGACGCCCAGCGGATACAAAGAAGCCGCACTGAACCCATCGAAACAGACCAGATCAGGAGAGACTTCCAGACCCTTCAGTGAATCTTGAGAGCTGGTAGCCCGTCTACATGGACGTCTGAGCAGACGCGTGCAGCCGATGATCCGGTGGTCCATCTGAAGCTTAACAGGACTTCATTCAACTGTTTCAACCGGCCAATCACAGTCAGTGGGCGCGCACGGCCAATGCGTTTTTTTCTCTTATCATGAGGGGGGTGGGGGGTTGTTGGAGGGTGGCTGGAACATAATACCCACGATAAACAAGGTACTACTGCATTCTAATTTTTCTTAGATACACCTGTAGTACTGCTTGAAATAGTGCACATTGTCTGCCACAAGTCAGGGAGAGACAAAAGAAAAACAGTCCTATCTGATCTTTTCTACCCTTGAATCTATCATATTTCCTCTTTTAGACACAAATGAAAGCAGTGAGTCTGTCAAAGCTCTGCAGTTAAGCAGGAAAAACTTCTATCAATCATTAGAGACAAAATCTAAGTTGGTTTTTGCTGTTTATTATGTCAGCAGTCAAATTCAGTATTCTATAAATTATAGCAACAGCAAAGATAAAGCCAAAACTATTTTAAAGGATACCTTTTGTGTTTTTGCAGAAACCACCACATAACCATATTTTTTAGACCAATTAAAAATGTAAAACTTTAAAAAGTTTGATTTAATATTCACTGCAAAAAGGTTTTTTAAAATTCTATGAACTTTCTCCAGCTAAAAGTATTTGTGGTCAAATAATTTAGACTGGTGCTTGTTTTCAGAGACCGAAGTGCTGTTATCAGTTTGCAGGGTGCTGATAACATAAATTAAAATAGACTATAAAAAAAAAAAATGTTGTAGACCACCTATGGATCCCAGCAATTCTCAATAATATGGGAGTTTGACACAAATTAGAAAGTCTGGTATGTTAGTAAAGTATGACAAATGATCCCAGGAGTCATATAGGTCAAGTGGAAAATCTCCTTCAATTCCCAACAAATCCATTAAAATGAAGCCTGTTGTCCTCCTGCTGTCTGTGTCCTTCTGTGCTATATTGTCTAATGTCTGTTCCTTGTTTCTATTGTACCTATTGTCAGACTCCATTTTAGCTCTGATTGGCCTAATGGACCGCAGGGGAATAGAACACTTCCTGGTGTTGTAGCCCAAGAAGGTTTGGCTTGAAACGAGGTGATTAATGACAACCATCACAGCCAGGACTGGGAGATAATGAGGGGGACAAGTGGGAGTTGCAAAGGGGGAGACAAGGAGGGAAAGGAGGTCAGCAGGGAGCTGAAATTGGACCAGTATACTTCACACAGTCAAATGCAAAGGCGACACTGCAGCAAGAGAGGGGGGGCTGGAGGCAGAAGCAGAGGAGGATCGTAAAAGAAGCACAGTAATTAGTGCTAAACAGGAGTCTGTGAATGAGAGGAGGAGACAGCCACACGTAGAGATGGTGGGCAGTCACAGGACAGCAGAGGAGTGTCTGCAGAGAGTAGCCAAACATCTGTTGCTCTGAGGAAATCCAAAACGGCTCTAATCCCAAAACACTCATTTCTCAATGTTATTCTTCAACACACAATTGTAAAGGCTGTAATAAATAAAGTCCTACCATTCATTGAAGAGATACATTCTGCCCATATCCTCCCATCTCAGAGCTTTAAACTAAAATCATAAGATGAGAAATTGCAGCAGAGTTTTTGTCAAACCTTGCTACAAA